AAGAAACCAAAGAAAATTAGACAATAGAAGAGTGAACAAACGGCAGTTGTCACCTGGCCTTGATCCGGGTCATAGAACCTTTGTATCAGGTTGACAATGGTGGACTTGCCACACCCACTGGCGCCCACTAGCGCCACCGTCTGGCCGGGCTCAATGTCAAGGTTACAGTTCTTTAGAACCTGTAGATGTGACGTAATATTGACATGATAGGACATACAGGTAGAAAAATACATACACGCACGCGTGCGCGGATGCACACACATATAGACACGCGTACATACATAGACAAACACACACACACACACACACATATACACACACACACACACACACACACACACAAACATACATATACACACACACACACATACATACACACACACACACACACACACACACACACACTCAAAATTGCCGTCAAACGATTGTAAAAACTTCCAGAATTCTAACCTTAGACAGGGAATCTGTCAAATTCGCAACCCTAGACATACACAAACCCGTTGCATCGGGTTCTCTAGTGTAGCGGTGAGGCGCTTCGCTGTTGCACGCACGAAGTCCAACATTGATTCCTTTGTGAGGTGAATTTTCATATGGAAAGCACTATTCCCAGTGACCCTGGGGATAGGCCCGGAAACTATTCCCAGTATTTTAGGCCCAGTAACTATTCTCGGTGACACTGGGAATAGGCCCAGAAACCACTGTCAATAGGGCCTAGGCCAGAATTGTTCCCAGTCTCACTGGGGATAGGCCCAGAAACTATTCCCAGTGACACTGAGAACAAACAGACCCATTAGCCTAGATCTATTGTTCCCACACTGATCTACATGGGCATGATGATGATGGGTTACTAAATACTAGACAAGATCTAGATCTAGAATTCTATATCTAATGCAGATCTAATCTAGATACTAGATCTAACTAAACTAAAGTAGATTCTGATGCGAGTGGAAGAATTATTATTTTTTCAAGGAATGATCATTCTATGCTTGCTTGTTATTCAGTCGTAATTTAGATGTACAAGTAGATCTAGATCTTATTCGGATTTTGAAGACCACGGTACAGGACAGGTGGAAATCCTTTCCGATTCTTCTCTCTTCTAGATCTAGATCTAGATCTAGGCTACGGTCAAGTCTAGACCCAAGTAAGAGAAGAGAACAAAAGTACTGAACTGAAGTGAGAAGAGAGTCTACAGTACACGTTAGAATAGTCTAGATCTAGGCCTAGAATCTTGATCTTTTGAAAAGCTGCAAATTTCTCTTCAAACTCTTTGAAGGAGGAGAACTTCGCACCCACTTCCAATCCATCAGCATCGCAATTTTGTTTTGAAGTGAAAATTCAAAGGTAAAGACTTCTGATTTATTTTAATGCAAAAGAGTTCCATTGTCACTGGGAATAGTTTCTGTACATATCCCCAGTGTCACTGGGAATATTTACTTCGTTTTCATATTATATCAGTCTTTCTGCTGGGACGCTGCATTCCTCTCAGCCAGCCCCAGTTTACCCTTTTTGTTTTTTTTGTTTTTGTAAAGTGTTTTACGGCG